ATACATGTAACTATTTTAAATTATTAATAAAGATATAAGCAAGGCCTCACCTTAATACCAAAAAAAAAAAAAAAAAACAATAGTTACTAAAAACATTGACCTTAACAAAAAATAAAATAAATAAAATAAAAAAACCTAATGATAGATTTTCTTTAAATGGTACTCAGAAAACAAACTGAACATTGAAAACCTGATGATAGGTTTTTTCTTGATAGTACTCATTTAGTATCCGACTTAAGTGTTGAATTTTTACTTGATCGTGCTGAGCATTAATCATAAATGAGGAACGTGTATGCACATAAAATCCTCTGTCAGTAGTGTTACAAATCGCAAAATTTTTTGTCGATCGATTAGTTGATTAATGTTAATTATTTTTTCGATCGATTAGTTGATTAATGTTAATTATTTTTTCAACCAATAACGGTAATAGTTGCAACTAGTCGATTAATCATTTATGCAAAATTATGTTTGCAGATCATCAAGAAAAAGAACTCGATGATTACTATCACTATATAAAGGGCTTATATGTATATATATAAATAAAATATCTACTTTTTTTTAAAAAAAAATAAAATTTTTCTATTGCTCAAAAATTATTATTCTGAAACATGTTTGAGCCTTTTTTGTGCAACTGTAACTAAAACTTATCGTTATTGTAACCACGAAAAAAATATTTCATACTAAAGTTTCTTAGAATCATGTAATAATTCTTATAGGATGAAATTTGGTGCAAATTTTATTAGATTAAAAAAAAAATACATAAATTATATTCCTACAAAAGATACTAAAACAAATATGTTACAAAATAATGAATTTATACGTAACTTCTATTTTTGCAAAAAAAATGCCAAATTATATTACAAAATGATGAACGTTACAACCTAAACGTCAAAAAATAATTAGAAATCATCGATTTCTTTTTACAAACTGTTATAATCGATTAGTTGCAACCAAAAATTAATTTTTCAATTGATTAATAATTCATTCTTTAGTCAATTAGTTGCAACTAATCGATTAGTTAGTATCTAAAAAATATCGATTAGTTATCAATTAATCAACTAAACGATATTTCTATTTCATTTAGATCGCGACTGTGTCGTCCAATCAAAAACGATTGCATAAATTTCCACCATGAAAATTTAAATAATTTATTATGACAATATGTTTATCATGTTCATGTAATTAAAAACCATATGAAAAACATGGTGGAAATATGGTGAAAATATATAAACGTTCACTTTTTTTTTTAAAAAAAAAGGACAAATTCCATAATAAAAACGTCAATGAAACCATGTCTGGGTAATTCAGAAAAAAAAAAAAGCAATACCTTAAAGGCGACGATGATAGTTCCAACGGCAAAATCATATCTAAAAAAAAAAAGAAAATATTAGTAAGAAACAAATAAAAAAGAGAATTATAGGACATGATAACTCCAAAGCGAAGAAATTACACCGCGGTTTTAACGATTCCAACGATGAAATCATATCTAGAAAAAAAACCCCCGAATATGGCACGGCAACTCCATGATTTCATCGATGATGACTCCAACCACCTGAAAAAGAAATGCATTAGTAAAAACAAATAAAAAGACTCCAAATAATAAAATTACGACTCCTGCAACACCGTAATATACCTGAAAAAAAGATGCACGTTAGCAGACAAAATAATAATTGTTACGTTATATCACTACCGGCAACTTATTACAAACCCATAAACTTATATTCTAAAACTAGGTTTTCGGTTCTTAACCTAAGAACTTTACCACCTTTAAGCGAAATGATCTATTAATTGCAGATGAATGACAATTCGAAACTTGTTAGAGTATTCAGTCGTAAACGACAATGACTAAATGACATTTTATTTTAGCTTTCATAGGAATTCTTTATAATATATTAATGTAATTTTTCACACAGATTTAGGTCATTCCATTTATGATATGGTATTTTATTGCGCATATTCTTACGATTGCGATTTTAGAAACATGCATTTTTTAATTATATAACACGTGTCGATATACTTCATATTTAGCAAATTGAGGATAGCCATGTCATTGTTGCTATTTTAGAAATGACCCGGAGTTCCTTAAATGTAAATGATCAACAGTCACCTGACAAACTAATATGGGCTTACTGAAAGAAAGATATATAACAGTAGATGAAATACATAAAACCCCACAGCCTCATAAACGTACCTATTTTGTGGATAACAGCAACACTAAAAAAGTGAGCATTACTTAACATTAAGCCTTAAGTATTTTCCCGATGTCTAAACATTATTTACAAAGTAAACTAAAACCCTTAATCTCTTTCACATTTTACCCATCGCCTCGTAGAAAAAAAATCCAATGCAGACTATTGTTGACCGTTCAGCCAATAATGGCTATTCTTATTACGCCCGCCCTAAAATGAATGGAGGAGGTACTTATGGTTACAAGTACGAGGAAGGTGGTTTTCATAGTGTAAATGGGGGTAATGGTCAACGTCCTAGTGACAATAGAGACCAGCAGAGAGGAACCTTCAATGGTCGTAGCGGAAATGGGCGAAACGGAAATGGAGGTCGATACAATAACGGTGGTAATGGTGGTGGTAATAATGGAAATGGGAATAAAAAAGTTTATGTTCCATCTAATTACCGAACCCAAGAGGAACTCGTCTTTAGAGTTACGAATGTACAGGCTGAGGCCACAGCAACTGATTTAAAAGATTATTTTAACTTGTTCGGATCTGTGTATAAAGTAATAATTGAAACGGCAGAATATAATGGGGCTGATAGATCAATTGGAGCGGCACTTGTTCACTTTAGGTTTGTATATATTATTTTTTTTTGACAAATTATTTTTTTTTCTTTTTTTTTGTCCCTTTTTTTTCTTTTTTTTTTTTAGGAAAGTATAGATTAATTAATTGAGCGTTTTACAGACCGCCTCCACCACCATTCTGGAATAGAGATGTAACTTTTCATGGACGAGTTCTACATTTGGAACATTATTCATCAAAAAACAATCACACACATTTTAAGGACCCAAATGATGGTAATAAACTTAAACTTCAGAAACATAATTTTAATGCAGAAAGCATTGAAATGGGTGCGTTCTTGCAACCTGATACCTTTGTTTCCGAAGCAAAATTTACTGAAAAAGTCAATTTTACGCTTGATTACAAGCGACGTATCATTAAAGTCATATTCGTAGTTCAACGTACTCATACTTTTAAGTTAGAGATTCAATTTAAAGATTTGGACGGGGAAATAATTGCCGAGTGTGACGGATCTCGAGCAATTTTCACTGTCTCTAACAAATTTCCAGCTAGATATTGGTTTCACAACGGTGCACAGAGAGTTAACAATAATTTTAGCTGGTGCTACGATGATTGTTGGAAACGAAAAACTGAAATTCGTGTTGTACCACGAAGTGAAGAGGAAAAATCATTACCTCTACAATTAAATATGCCAAATAAAAGTGATAAAATTGGCAAGTGGATCGTCTTTAGAATTACATTTGACCTTAATTCTATAAAAAATGGCGAAACAGGAATCAGGGATATGCTGATCAAGGCTGGAGAATACAACCTTGCATCTAAACCTGGTGAGTTTAGAAATCGTCCAATTAAGGTTGTTAGGTCCGATACGTTAGAAAAACATTTGGATATATCTATGTTACAATTCGATGTCGCCTACATGATAGAAAGTAATATATCACATTACTTTCTAAACGAATATAATCTTTCAGAAGAATTCTGTAAGATTTTGTCAAAGCAATCACCAGGAATTGCAGTTAGAATATTAGAAACTATATCAGCTCGTAAAAAGCGTATTTTTGATCCTCTGACAATTCTCAAAAATGAGATTTGGAAACTTATGAATGTTGATGTGAAAGCAAAGTATGTTCCTTCTTACTGTGTAATGATGCGAAAAGTGGTTGTCACCCCCACCACTATGTATATATTACCGCCTTCTATGGAAACATCCAACCGTGTGATTAGACATTTTCAAAATTGTAAAGACAATTTCTTACGTGTGCAATTCAACGATGAAGCATCTGGAAAAGTTGGTGCCAACTCGAGTAATGATGCATTATATAATAGGATATATCAAACACTCGTTAGTGGCATTAAGATTGGTGATCGACATTATGAGTTCCTGGCATTTTCTTCCAGTCAGCTGAGAGATCACTCTTGTTGGTTCTTTGCTCCAACAGATCAATTGACAGCTGATGATATTCGAAATTGGATGGGTGATTTTTCAGGAAATTGTGTTGTCGCCAAATATGCAGCCCGTATGGGCCAATGTTTCTCTAGTACTCGTGCAATCGCCTACTTACAAGTAAACGATATTGAATTAATACAAGACATATATAGGGGTAAATACAATTTTTCAGATGGTACAGGAAAAATTTCATATGGATTAGCTAGAACCATAGCCCAGAACTTGGAATTGAAACATACACCTTGTGCCTTTCAATTCAGACTTGCAGGCTATAAAGGTGTTCTCTGTTTATCTCGCTATTTACAGGGAAATAAGATTCAAGTACGGCCTAGCCAATGTAAATTTGAATCTACACACCAAGTACTTGAAGTCATTAGAGGGTCATGTATGATTACTGCCTTCCTCAACCGACAAGCCATAACCTTATTATCTACATTAGGAGTTCCTGATGAAGTTTTTATTGAAATGAAAAATCAACAGGTCCAAGAATTGGATAAGATGCTTAAGAGCGATCACATGGCGATGAGTGTATTGCTCAAAAACGCTGATGAACATGGGATGACTCGTATAATGTCTGACCTTGTGAAAGCAGAATTTTTGCAAAGAAAAGATCCTTTCCTTATTAACCTTCTTGCACTATTTCGTATTATGATGTTAAGGGATTTGAAGAAAAAAGCAAAGATTCGTGTTGATGATGGAGCCTTTTTATTAGGAGTTTTAGATGAAACCAATTCTTTAAGGGAAAACCAAATATATTGTTGTAAGTCAGATCCACAAAATCCAAATGTAAGACAAGTAATTACGGGAACTTGTATTGTGTATCGTAATCCTTGCTTTCATCCCGGAGATATTCGAGTCGTTACAGCTGTAGAATGTAAAGAGTTAGAGTATCTTGTTGATGTCGTAGTATTTCCAGCACAAGGATTTCGTGACATTCCAAGTCAATGTAGTGGAGGTGATCTCGATGGTGATGATTTCACGTAAGTAATTCACCATTTGGTATTTTATCATTAATTTATTAACTTATTGATACTTACATAAATTTATTAACTTATTAATACTTACATAGTATCATCTATGATAAAAGACTTATTCCTAAAATAATAAACTTTGAACCTATGAATTATGAGGCGCCAAAACCAGAGACGGTTGATCTAGTTACAATTGATCATATTAAAAAGTTTTTCGTAAACTATATTTGTACGGATCAGCTAGGATCCATCGCTAATGCGCATGTAGCAAAAGCTGATATGGCAGAAAATGGGGCATTTCATGGACAATGTATGCGCCTGGCTCAGCTTCATTCTGAAGCAGTAGATTTTCCAAAGACTGGTAGCCCATTGGAATTCCCTAGTGAACTTAGGGTGAATCGCTTTCCAGATTTTATGGAAAAGCCGGACAAACCTTCTTATCCATCTCAAAAAGTCCTCGGAACACTTTATCGATCGATAGAAGTCAATGATTTTAATCCTTATACAGATATTCTTTTTGATGAACGATTGTTGGTTCCAGGATATGAAGCATATGTGAAAGATGCACGTGAATGCAAACGAGATTATGATTCAGAAGTACGTGGGTTAATGAATCAATATGGAATATCCTCTGAATATGAGGTCGCCAGTGGTTTTATTGTCAACACTATTCTTAAAGTGGAAAAGAAGAAACCACGTGACATACAAAAATCGGTATCAGATATGATCGCAGTTATTAAGAGGCTTTATAAAAAAAGATTTGAAAAAGAGTTTTATATAGAAGGAGCGGAGGGAGCAAATATTATATCACCAGAATCTCGTGGTCTTATGGAGGCTAAAGCTTCAGCATGGTATTACGTTACTTATCATAAAGAAGAAATTGGAGATGATCCATCAGATCAAATGATATCCTTTCCATGGATTAATCATGAGATTTTATGCCAAATAGCTATGAGGAACAGTGGTAAAAAAAGAGCATTAAATGATCTTTATAATCAAGATAAAAAAAACTATCGAGCATCAAGTTCGGCGAGTTCATCGAGTTCCACTAGTTCCTTTAGCTCTTTCAGCTCATTTAATTCATCTAGTTCGAGCTTTAACAACTATAATACGCAAAGAGAAACAAACGATTATAGTTTCAATTCCGAATACCTTGAAAACCAAGGTGATGGAATGGATAGGCTTATTAGTAGTATTGCTCGGAGCAATCAATCTCGGATGAATTAAAATGAAAATGAAATTATTACTTAAATTTGAGCACTATTATGGTTCAAAAACAGTATATATTTTTTTAAATTATGGGTGCCCTTTTTTTTTTTTTTTTTTTTGAAATACTTTTCGCCTACATATGTACAAATGTGAATAAAAATAAAACTGTAAACATAAAAATATTACATTAAAATTATTAAATATTTAGCAATGCGTACTGATAACAATAATGAGTTGATATAAAAATTTTTATTTTATTTTATTCATAAGTTTGTCCATTACCAATAAAAAACAAATGAAAACAAAATGTCAAGAACTAATATTTAAAACTGTCCTATTAAAATTGAAATTACATTATTAAGAAATAAGTAAATGAATAAAATATGCTATTAATTAACTTTTTTTTTTTGAATATTTACATTTTTTTTTTTTTTTTTTTTTTTTTTTAACGTTATGAATAATTTGATTTTTAAGTATTGAATAATCGATACTATTTACATATTTTTATGTACCAAACCATCAAGATAAATTGAAAAAAAAAAATTCAATTATAAAACGATAAAGTATGCAGAAAGGACTGTGATATATAGTAAATGACAATGAAAAATGAACGTGAATGATGATTAAAAAAATCCCAGATATTTCTCCATTTTATGTTTAATTGAGATATTCAAACACGATAAACATAATAAATGATATGATAATGAATTAAAAAAAAATTTGAAATTTTTTTTCAGTAAGAAAAATGAATGAAAAAAAATGATAAGTGAAAATAATGATTGGATAAAATGAAGATCGAAAGGCAAATGAAAGGGATAAAGGTATATTTACAAAATGGACATAAAAACAAAATTTACAAAAAGGGTAGGTATTAAAAGAAAATTAGAAATTAACAATAATAAACATTATTCATCATAAGTAATAAGATGAAAGCAAACATGTACAAGTAAAAATTGCAATTTACAAGTAGAACCAATAGAACACGTTATATAATTATTGCGTCGAAGCAGAAGCAAAAGACATGGAAGAATTTTCTTCTTCAACAATAGGATCCAATAAGATTGAATTCCTATTACCACGAAGAGAAGCTCTTGAAGATCTACGATTAACCTTTAAAGTAGAATTCGAAGGGACAGTAAAAATGTAATCCCTGTTTTGATCCAACATGAATTGATCATTTACACCAGCAGAAGAAGGCATGCGACGTGGAAGTAAAGTTGGACTTTCGATAGGACTTGAATCAGTAGAAGAGTTACTGCTTGGAGGCAAGAAAGCTGGAGGATAACTTTCAGTAGTATATACATGACCTACGTGACCATTGGTTGTATTATGATGATTAGCAGAATAATTATTAAGGTTATAAGATGGTTGGTAGGTGGAGTCATAAACGGTATGATATGAGGAGTTATATGTGGCCGCAGAGAAAGTTGCAGGATAAGTACTTCTGTAGGCGTTAGCGAAAGAAGTTTGATCATTAGGAGTGTAAAGAGGAGTTGTATGCATCTTTGCTGATTAAAAAAAAAATCAAGAATAGGTTTTTTTTCAAAAAGATCTGGGTATGCTTGTAAAAAAAAATAAAAAAATAATAATAATAAAAAATAATAATAATAATATATATAATAATAATAATATAATAACAATAACAAATTATTATTATTATTATTATTATTACTATTAGTATTATTTATTAAATTTATTTAAATTTAATACTGAAATAAATTTAATTCCCAAAGGAAGAAAGAACTTTTGCTTAAGCGCGAAGTAAAAATTCTTTTATAGGGACGAAATACTGATACGTAAAGAAGCGTGGCTTTGGGTCTTTTTTCTTTTAAGGAATAACACGGGACTATCACAAAATAAAAAAAAAATAAATGTGGCTTTTGTTTTGAAGGTTAGCGCGGACGAAAAAGACACAGCCCGTGTATTAAAAAGAGCGAGGAAAATGATAAAGTAGGTAATAGAAATCGTAAATCATCCAGTGGAGAAGAGCGAGGATGATCTAAGATTTTGAAATCGGATTTTCTTTTTTTTTTTTTAATATAGCAAAGATGGGGGAATTTTTTTTTAAAAAAAACATTGGGGGAAAAGGACGCTTTTTATAAGATTTTTTTTATAGTGGGTGGTTTCCGTAAATGATTTCCAATTGCGTGGTAAACTCGTAATAAAACAAACAAAAATAAACTTTATGCAATATCGATGTGGATTCGATATAAAAAAAAAAATTGATCAGAATCATCAGAAAATCAGCAGTACAAGGTTTCCACGCGTTAAAATAAATCCAAAAATAGTTACTCCATTAAAAGTGAACTTGCTAGAAAATTATTCTTATATAATTCTGACGCCATAAGAGTTGATACAAAAGAATTAAGATTGTATTGTATTTTATTTTAACAATCTTTGCCACGAATATGTCAATTTATGCAATGTTCTCTAATTTGCTTCACAGTTGCCGTGGGATACTTATTGACAATTCAGGCATTTTTTTTAACCCGGTGACTTTATTGCTAGTTAATAATGTTAAACTGCATTGCATACGTACTGATACATTTAATTTGTGGGAATTCGTCGTCATCGTCATCGTCATCATCAATAAATGCGTGGGCATGTAATTTGATTATTTATGCATACTGTGTACCATATATAGGAAAAATCGAAAAAAAATTCACACTTTTAAGTCATTATAGAACAGCTTTAAAAGACAAGACTTTTTGGTTGTTATAACAAGAAAGAAGCATGTTTGTACCAACAGATACGGAGACGTAACGCGTATATCCGAGTTTTTTTTTTCTAAAATTCTCAATGCATGCTAATTTTTCAGGTCCAAGAATACTAAATTGGTCGATTTGTAATTAGTATAATTGACTATTTATTGTGTGACTATTACAAGTTTTACAAGTTTTATGATTCTTTTATATTCTCTTATATTTTTAGATTTCATTTTTCCGAGCATTCTATCATTCTATCATTCTATCATTCTATATAGCTATTCAGTATCATTCTATCTCGATATCGTTATATATCGTTATATAATAATTATCGTTTTAATTCTATATAATTCTCAACTATTCGCTATTCGAGTTTTAACCTTAGCATTAGCAGTCTAAATTTATAGATCAAGCATAACATATATATTGCTAGATAAGTCTTATCAATGTGATTTATCGGGGTTGTTTTAATTTTCAAATAAGATGGAATATGCTTTCCGATTATCTCGTTTTTTTTTTTTTTGATTGGTTTCGCATTAACAAGTATAGGATTTAAAAGGCATTGGCTGTAATCTTTCGGCTGATGTTAACCAATCGGATAAGACCTTTTTATTATAATCTTTAACCAAATTCTGCTCCTCTAGTAAGATTGAATTCGTGTATGTGGGTAGTAGTATATGTATGTATACTGTTTAAAGAATTATGCATTTTATAAATTCAATTTAATTTGATTGGAACTGTTTATCATTAATGTCTGTAATATCCGACGACAATTCCCTGATTCTCTGCTTGTAAATTTCCTTTTGATGCTATCATAACTCGATTTCTGGTCATCATCCACAAGACTTTTCACGTTTTAAATTTGTCCATTTTTGTCCGTTTGTAATTTATTTTGTCACACGACTGAAAAGCAATTAACCGCTCACTTCCAAATTTCCTTATCTACTACAGTAAATTATCCTACGTACTAAATCATCAAATCATCTAAATCATGGGAATACCCGATGAAACAATCTTATTTCTAATTTCTATTTGTTGTTGAAAAGCAATCTTTATTTCTTTGCTTTTTCTATTGGTCACTCTTATCTGTACTCTTAAAACATGTTCTGTGTTTATTTAATTTATTTTATTCCTTTTTTTTATTTTATTCATTCCACTTCATACTACATCATATTCTCCCATACGGTCATAGGACTGCTTGTGTGTTTGTAATTTATGAAATTTCTATTTTCTCAATTAATTCTTGATTATTGACCGTGAACAATTACTATATTTGTCTTTTCAAAAATGTCTCTTTCCTTTTTACGTACTCTTATATTCATTATTTGTTGATAAAATGTTCCTAAATGTTCCAAAGTGTTTTCCAATCTGTTTATTTGTAAATAAAAATACTTTCTCGTGGAATTATATAGAATTATATGGAATTTAGGTAATATGATCATAATATGATATATAATATTATATATAATATGATCATAATATGATATATAATATTATATATAATATGATCATAATATGATATATAATATTATATATAATATTATATATAATATGATATATAATATTATACATAATATGATATAAATATTATACATAATATGATATAAATATTATATATAATATAATATATAATATAATATAAATATTATATATAATATAATATAAATATTATATATAATATGATATAAATATTATATATAATATGATATACAATATGAAATATAGTGAAATATAATGAAATATAATATGAAATATAAAATGAGGATAATATGAATATAATGTGAATAATACGGATATAATATGGATATAATACAATTTATTATAATATGGATGCCTGTTTTTTTATTATGGAAAACTGGTATTATCGTATAATCTAAAAAAAGTCATAAGATCAGCTCATGTCGCACGAAGGAATAAATTCTCTAGTTGTATTTTGCACCTGCGCACAAATCAATATCTAACAACTCAATTCATACCTATAAAGCGTTAAAAAATTTTTTTTCTCCTTTTCAATTATAATAAACATGAAATTTCAAAAGATATCGGTTGATTCCGAGTCTGCAAAAGGTATAATTTTATGCAAATAATTACATAAAAAAAAACTTTTGCCAAGAATTAAAAAATAAATAAAACTTAGTATACCGAAAATTAATCTTAATATATTGCCGGATATACAACAAAATATAGATTTTTAAAAGGCTTATTATAGTTAACTATCAGGTTAGCTTAGCGTTAGTAGTGTTTTTTCATGTCTGAACCTAATGCCTTATGTAATAACATCACAAAAATGTGATTTTTATTACGTACACGTATATATAACCAATAAATGTATTAAACTTAGAATACAATAAATATGTATAAAAATTAATCATTTTTTATTTTTTTAATATTAACGAATTAATCATTTTTATTTCTCAATGTTTTTTTTTATTTGCAATATAAATATACGTATAACTTCTTGTTTGTTGCTATTGTATACTAATATACCAATTTTTTTTTTTTACATATAATTCGTGCTTTAAACTTATACTATAATAGCTTATACAGTAGAATAAAAATATACAGTATTATCTCAATATAACGAAGCTCTGGGGTTAGAGGTTTTGCTTCATTATATCTACTTTGTATGTGAAAACAGAATTTAAATAAATTCGAAATATTTGTATAAAACCCATTTGGGGATTGATTTTTATTCAGTGTTGGAATGACCAGACCAATTTGACCAATGACCAGTTTGGCTAAGCATGATATTGGTCAAATGGTCTAGTTATATGTCAATTTGACTATAATCAAATTTGCCTAATTGGTCTGATTTGTTAATTTGGTTTATATTGCTAGTGCTAGGTTGTTTAATTAATTTGATTAGAAACTTTTTAATCAATGACTAGTTAACTATTAATTTGATTAATGTTGATTTTATTATATGTATATTTAACTTTATTTATTTTTATATAAAGTAAAAAAATATTTGTTTGTTAGTTATATTATATAATAACTAACTAATTAAATAATATTAATTAACAAATTATATTATTACAAAGTAGTTTGTAGCATAGTATAGTATATTATTATTATTATTTTTTTTTTTTTTTAACTTTGATAACCTTGTTAATTATTTTTATTAAAACTCTTGTATATGTATTTTATACAAAGTTGGTTTAAATTCTGACTCAATATTCTCTGATTACTTTTATAAATGCTTAAAAGCAGTCAATTAAAAATTAATCTGATCAAAAGTTAATTATTAAAATTATAAAAAATAGTTTTATTTTTTTTTAATAAAACTAACAACTAAATCTAATTATGATTTTATACTTTTTTTTTAATATTTTTCTTCTTTTTTTTTATAGATTAATTTTAGTTATTTATTATACTATTTTATTTTTCTTATATATCTGCCTATTAATCATAACATTATTTGATATATAAAAAAAGTTAATAAAAAATAGACAAATTTTTTTTAAATAAAAGTTTTTGTGAATTTAAGCTTAAATATCTAAACAACTATTTTATTAAATTTAATAATTTTTTTATTTTAATTTTAAGACATTAGTTTAGAGTAATTTGTTACCATGATGATTTTTATAATTAACTAATCAGATTATATAAAGAGATTATCAAAACAATAATAAAATTTTAAATTTTTTTAAAACTTTTTTTAATTATATCTTAACAACTACTTATTCAAATTTAATAAAATTTTTTTATTTAAATTTTACAAATCTATAAAATTTAAACAAAAAAAATTTTATTAAATTTAATGAAGTAATTGTTGAGATATATTTAATTAAAATTTGATAAATTTTTAAAATAACAGAAAAAAAAAATCTTAAATCAAAATTTTTAATAATATTTTAATTATATATATCTCAATAATTACTTGATCAAATTCAATAAAAAATTTTTATAGTATAGATACATGTAATACTCGATGTACCTATACTATATTAACTATAATATAAACAATATAAATAACTCTTATTTTCCTATAATCATATCACATAAAATAATTTTTATGTAATAAAATATAAATAAAACCAATAAAAATAGTTGCAAAATTTATTAAAATACAAGAACTTTTAAATTTTATGAATTATAAAGAAATTTTAGTTAAAAACATATATTTTTAGATAAAAAATAAAATTTCCAAGCTTTTACAAATTAAACAAAATTTTGCTTGATGAAAAAAAATACATTAAATTTCTTTTTGAGAAGGAAATTTTGAAAAAACCAACTAAATATTTGTATTGTAAATATAAAATATTATATTATATTTCAACTCAAAAACTTTTTAGTTGTGCAAATTGTGTAAAACAGATGACTTTAGTTTTAAAAAATACTATTTTTTATAAATATAAACTTAAATGTAATGAGATTTTATTAATTGAATATCTTTGGTTGATCAAAAACAAGATATACAACAATTAAAAAATTTATAGAACATGATTCCTCAACAATAATTAGATTTATTAAAATGTTTAGAAACATAATTGCAAAAAGCTTAATAAAAGAAGATAGAAAAATAGGTGGAGATAAAGTTATTATAAAAATTGATGAATCTAAGTTCAAAGCTCATAAAGATTGGTAGATACTTGGATTTATTGAAAGAACAAAGTTAAGAAAATAGTTTTTAAAATAGTTAAAGATCATAATAAAAATATATTACAAAGATTAATTAAAATACATGTAAAACCAAATTCAATTATTTTTACTGATTCTTGGAAATTATATACAGGTTTTGAGAAACTTGGTTTTAAGCATTGAAGAGTAAATCATAAAAGACCAAGTAAAAAATTAGCTTTAAAATGAATTCATACAAATTATATCGAAGAATCATGGTCTGGTATAAAACAAAATATGTTGAAAAAAGATATATATAAAAAGAAACTTGAAATACATTTAAAAGAATTTTTATAATGAAGAAAGCATGAAAATAATCACTTTAATGATTTATTAGAGTCAATTAAAAATTATAAAATCCTATAATTTTTTATATAAAGAAATAAATATATAAATGCTTTAAACTTTTTTTTTGTTAAAAAAAAATATATCTTGATAAGAGAAATTTGAAAATTATGAATATTAGACTGAATTAAAGTTACAAATCCAGATAAACCAAAACATAAACTAAATGAGTTTCGTACAGTTCTGATCAATTACAAACTATACTATAAAGTCAAGACACAGAAACCAGACATCATATTTTTCATTGATATTAAGAATTTCTATCTCTTACAAAACTATACTTGGTATTATGTTAAAAATGCAAATACATATTATCTTCAAGCATATATTAAAAATAAAAAAAGTTAATTCATCAGTTAATTTATCTTAAATAGAAAATAACAGATTATATCAATTGTAATGAACTTGATAATCATAAATATAATCTACAAGAAACAAACAAAAAAGAAAATGCATTAAATAGAAAATTATGAAATTCAAATACTGTTAGTTATAACAGTGTTTATTTTTGTAAATCTAAAAAAAGTTGGATATTTACATATAGAGAAAATACAAAATATAAAACTAAAGAATTTTCAATTACAAAAAATAAAACTAATAAGTAAGTAAAACAATTAGCTATAGATTTCAAAATAGAGCATGATAAAAAAACTGTCAATCAAAATAGTTATCTTGTAACTTATTAATTACTTGTATTATTTTATTTAATAAAAATTAATAAAAATATATTAGTTTAAAAATATAACATTAAAGTTTTTACTGTTTATAATATATTTGAATCTTTTAATATTGATTCAAACATATCATAAACAGAGAAAACTATTAACAAAAAAATAATAAACTATTTTATTTTAATTGATTCAACAAATTCTAAGAACTGTTTCTGAATCAGTTCTAAATAATTGTTAAAAAGCTTTTTATTCATTTCAACTTCAACATAAGAACTAAAAAGTTGAATATTTATCAAATGAACATTCTGAATATAAACAATATAAGTGCTAAATAAAAATAAAATAATAAATATAATAAAAATTAAAACAAAAATAATATTTTTTAATAACTTTAAATAATCTGTTAAAGTTATGATTGATTTTTTAAGAGAACAAATTTTGTTCTCATACAGATGAAAAAGTTCATCTGTTATTTGTTTAGTAAACTCATTGTCTAAATAAAAGTTTTGTTAATAAATTAATAAATTTTTAATAAATAATTTATAAATTATACCTTTTGAAGAGGCAATAACTTCTTCAGTTATGGTCTCAACTTGTTCAACAACTAGATAAAAGGTAGTCATTTTTTGTTATGATTGTTGTTAAAATATTGTATTAAAATTTGGTTTCAAAAAAAATATTTGCAACAATTTGAAAAGAAAGTTGATGTTTAAATATCAAAAGCTTAAGACTATTCATAAGAAGGTGATAAATTATCATAAATCTTCTGTTGGTTGTTGGGAATTCTGCCAGATGAAGTTCGAAATATAGACATGTCTGTAACAAAAAATAATTTAAATAGGTATTAATTTGTAAGTGAAGTATAAACAATCAAAAAAAAAATTAGGTTAAAGTTTAAAGATAACAGAAAATAAAATAAGGATTGATTTGGAAATATTAAATCTAGCATTCATTAATTCCAAATAAGGATAATTATAAAGGTTAGAAAATTCTTACAAAACAATCGAATTTGAGAATTATTTCTAAAAAAAGATTTATTGAATAAGAGTTTATCCAGATTAGTTTATCTGAAAAAATATTTAAATGATGCAAATTTTCTTACATCAACCAATATAAGTAAAAATGAAAAAACTACGATGCTATATTACATCTGCATGCAAATTTTGCCAAGAAAAAAAACTTAAATGCATTAATAAAAGACCTTGTGCTCAATGTATAAAATGAAATGTTCTTTGTGAACCATCTGATAAGAAAAAGAAAAGGGTTCAACTTCAAGATCCAAAGTAGAATATTTGAAAATCTATAAAATTTTAAATGAATAAGGACTATTTTGTCAATTTATGCTTATAAATATTTATAATTTTATTTATTATTTATTATTTAATATGTATATATCTAAGTTTCAAATAAACTATTAGTGTTTTAATATGCATATTCTTTGTTCAAAAGTTCTAAAATTCTTGTATAAAGTTAAAGATTTTCGATGTTTTAGCCTCATCAAAACAGTAAATTGCCATAAAAAATACTTACAATTAAAACTTTTTATAAAAAAAACACAAAGAAAAATCATAAAAAATTAACCAAAAAACAGAAAAACAGAATGGTTAACCAATTGCCTCTTCAGAAAATTTCAGTTTCTATTACTTTCTCTTGTTTAAACAAAAACATTGGAAAGAAGTAGCTAAAGAGTTGGAAGCAAGTCCAACTGTTGATGAAGTGCTAAATTTAGCACTTTAAAAAAAAAGCTGATTATTTAAGCATCAAATACAACATACTCAAATAGATTTAGAAATTAAAGAAGGAACAATTGATATTGAATATTATTCTAATTGAGATAGTTGCTATTGTAATCACCTATATATTATTGATTATAGATGATAAACAGTTAAGAGTTTGCTATATTACTTGTATAAAAATTTTGAAAATTATCGATTCATGTGATGTAGCCTTTCTCAATCAACAAGCCATAGTTGTAAATAAAATAAATTTAAGATTATAATAAACTTTTCTATAAATAAAATATCATTTTATAATTAATAATTATATTTGTATAAATAACTTTAAAAATAAAAATAAATAATTTAGTTTTATCTCAATATATCTTTACAATAATGAGCTGATAAATGATTTAAAAACATTTTTTTTTGTTTAATTCTTATTAAAAATTATTTGTTTATTAATGAACAAGTCGATGAATATCTTAATAATTAGTATAAAAGAAAAAAAAAAAAAAAAAGTTTGCCCATATTATGATCATAAAAAAGAAGTACTTAAGCTTAATAATTATTATAATAAACAAGTTGAAGATATTACTTTTTGTTTACTTAAAGATCAAAAAGAAGAAAGACAAAAAGAAAGAGAAACTTTAGAAAATGAAAGACAAAAAGACAGAGAAATTTTAGAAAAGGAGAAAAAATATGAAAGAGAAGAAAGAGAAAAAGATAAAATTTTTATTATGAAACTTTTAACAAATATATTTTTATTTGTTATCTTAATTTTCTTTATTTTCAAAGAAAATTTATTTGGTATTGCACTTTTTGTTATTTGTAATATTTTAAATTATTATAAGAATTAAGTTGTGAAATTTTCATTTTATTTTATTCATTTTTTTTTAAAAAAAAAAAAAAATACATATTTTAATAAATATATTTTTAAAAAAAAACTTAAAAAAGCTTAGTAATGACTATAAGTTCATCTATTGTAGCCTGGTTTTTCACAGACACTACATTTGATTTTGTTCATAAAATCACGTTTACACTTATGAGTACCAATATTAATATAGGTATGTTTGTTATATCCAAACATATAAATATCTGTAGCACAACACATAGAACAAAATTTTTTTGATATATGGGTAGCTCAGCATATCCAAAATTTAAAAAAAATACTAACAAAATAATGACAATAATAATTTTCTTATTCATAATCTGTAAAAAAAATAATAATAACTTTTTAATTTAATAATATTACGCATAAAAAAAATAAATAAAATAATTACTTTTTTTACTATTTTATTTTTTTTTCAAAAAAAAAATATAGACAATACATTTATATAAAAGTTTAATATATATAATATATAATATAAATAAAATTTTTTTATTTATATTGTATTGTAAAATTACAATATAAATAAAAAATTTTAATATATTTTACATATTACATATTTTTATAATATAATATAAATAAAAATTTTTATAAAAATTTTATTTATACTATAGTTAAATAAGCTGTATATTCTTATTTTTTTTTTTATTTTTATTTTTTTTTTAAATATTAAAGTGAGTACTTGTAATCTAGGATTTTATTGATAGTATATTTGGCTAATGATTGCTTTACA